GGAGGCGGACTGTGCTTGTAAATCAGGACAAGGACAGTAGTCCAGTTAAATCGAGCATTTTAAGTTACTGACTGATGCTACATTTGTTACTGCTGTCTGCCCTGCATTTTATGGCCTTTGCTTAACTTTGTAGATCCTCAACATCATAAATTACTTTCACGGTTTCATGGATGTTGATGTTCACTTCGTGCAAGCTCCCTAAAGCTGACTGGCATTCTGTCATGAGTTCCTATTTTTCAATGTTTTTTGGAGGCATGAAGCTAATGTGACTCATAAACAGAAAAAAGTCCAAAGTTTTTGTTTCGTGTAAATTGGATTTGGTGTCTAACATACTTTAGTAGTACTGCTGTGAATATAACTGAATGTGGCGTAAGCTGCTCTGCCATCGGTTTGTTTAAATCACGATTGAATCATTTATTTATCCCGTCAAGCAGAAGTTGAACAAAACTTTTTTCATGTGTTTAGCTTCAGCGCTCTGTGTGTGACTCAGGGACGGCATTTATCCACAACCACGATTTGCTATGATTATAATGTGACCTCTTGAAGAGGCCAGAGCAAACAAGCATGTCAATAGACATAAGTTACGGTTCTGATGATGGGCTGTACAGAAAGTTGTGGCAATATATGACGCAGGAAGACTTCTTTGGTGACTAACAGATAAAACAGGAGAGAAATGAGACTTGTCAGAGTAAATTTAATACACTTTCTTCGGTTGGAGGTGCAAGCTGTTACATTAGGACCAGTTAATCTTCTGATAGGGATATTTGATCAAATAACGGAAGGGTATACAACTACAAAAAGAGTGCAGGGCGTCTTTGTGAACTGAATGGTCTGTGTCACTGAGTGGCAAGGACGATCTTCTCTTTGTCAAACTCCCTCCTAAATCACACGCCACATCGGAGCAAGGTTGATTAACACCTGCTTTCAATTAAGTGACTTTCTCATCAAGCTCTGGTTGGAAACTGAAAGAAAAAAAAAAAGCCGCACGCATCGTCACGTCGAAGATGTTCCTGAATTAGATAGCTATTAAATCAGAGGAGCAGACGCACGGCGTTGCGAGAGGCATCGTTTATCTTCATTTGAGCGGGCCCTCCATGATTATCTCCACAGGGGCAGCTAATTGAAAAAGGGCTCCAGAAATGCGATTGTTAGCGGGGATAATAATTTATTACTCTCAGCTTGTGGAGTCCTGGGAGTCATTTGTATTCATTAGTGTAAATTCAAATTATGCTTGCGATTAAAATGTGACTTTGACAGGCAGAGGGGCCTCAGACGGGGACAGGCACTGATGAGACCTTTGCTCCGGGTCACTGCCTCCCACATTCGCCGCTCACTAAATACGAGTCGGAGAAGGCGTCTCTGCCTCACCACCATCAATCTGTGTCTGATTCAAGTTGAGACGTTAGCTTTGATGGCCCCTTCTTAGGCGTGTGTGTGTTCTGGGGACACTTAGTAAGCAAATTAATGCACCGTCTAAAAGACAACACCAATCAGACAAAAGAAAAGACACCGGCACCACCAAAAAGTCACTCCCTGCTTTTTTCTGTTTTATTTATCAAGTTTAATTTGTCATGCCTGACTGATATTGACCAAGCTTTTCTCCAAATGTCAGCCAGCGATTTCTTTGACATCCAAGACGAGATGGCAGTTAAGTAGGTCAGTGTCACTGTGATGAACATCAACCATGGCGGGTCACTGACTTGGGCCGCTCCTCCACTTGCCCGCCTGTGACAAACCAGTGAGCCAGAGGAAGTGAAGGAGCTGAGTGCTCCTTTATTAAAGCCCAGTAAATCACTCCAATACAGGCTGTCAGCATGTAAAGTGAGGAACTTTATCAGATATACACTGCAAAAGGTCATATTTTATTGACCTGACAGGTCTCTGGCAGGAGCCTGATGGTAAGGGTGATGAGGCTAGAGCAAGGGATGATGGTTCAGGGCTATTACCGCTGAATATGAAAATGACAATGACGGTGGTTTGAAGGAGGAAAAACGTTAAGAAGGGTTTAAATTTATGTTTTTATTAACTCACATGTAAATTTCTTGTATTTTAACTCTGATCTGCGAGATATTTTTTAGATACGGTGCTGATTATATTTTATTGATACAGAAAAAGGTTTAGTCAAAAGTAGGGATGTCCAGACCCATTGTTTATTATCGATTATCAGTCTGTTATCAGCAAAAAACCCCACCAAATATCGGTTTATATTGGTCTGCATCGAAATTCTTCGATATTAGCACTTTGATACAAGTAGTCCATTCCAGACTCCGCTCCGGCACCTTATCACAACACCAGTCAGTGCGTTTACATGCACAGCTAACTCTAAGCTCATAACTAGTTTTTTTTTTCGCCGAATCAGACTTCTCTCCTTGTCCACATATACATGCAGCTGAGAAAATTGAATTATTGACGTGAACGTGTCCTCCTCCCCAAAACTAGAGGTCAATATGGGTCTTTTCAGTGGCGCTGTTCCCTACCTCATGCAACCGTCAGCAGGTCCGTGACAGACGTCAGAAGAGTCTACAACTGCTGCTGGGCATTTTTAAGCAAGAAGATGGAGCATCCTACTGCGTTATTTTTGTCGTACATGATGTACGCGCTACTTTTTCTGCAGATGAGATGCACACTACTCCTCTTCTCTAGTGTTTTGGTTCCAGGGTTACGGAGGCGTGGCGCAAGCACACATGCATTGTGCGATCATACTCCGACTACGCCGGTTACATGGTAGAGAAAATCGAATTCCAATCACATTATCTGGGTGTCTTAATTGGAGTTCTCAAACTCAGATTATAGTCGGACTAAGGTGTTTACATGTACTTCAGTTGTTCGATTTTATTCAGAGTTAGGTAATAATTTGGTTTTCTCGAGTGTCAAATGTACTGGGTGTGTACTAAGGTACTAACAAAGTACCAAGAAGTAGGAGTGATGTCGGCCATGTGGCAGTATTTTTTGTTTAAGTCTGAAAAAGACGTTGAGGTTGAGTGCAAAACTTGTCATGCACAAGTTTGTGCCAATATCGGATCAATATCGGTATCAGCCAATACTGAAGGTTACAATATCGTCATCGCATCAGAAGTAAAAAAGTTGTATCTGGACACCCCTCGTCAAAAGTAAGTGTAAATAAATCAAATCAAAGCCTCAAATTCACAGGAAGTTATATCAATAAAGACTCAGATCAGTCTCTGCGAAATGATTGAGTCTTACTTTGAGACACCCTTCTCCAACACAAGGTCTACAGAGGGGAATCCGTCATCCTCTTTGAGCTATGCATCATGAAAACAGATTTCCCCTCTCGATTCCACACACTTTGTAACGTCATACAGCTCTGTGCAAACACGAGAAACACGCAAACACACACTAACACACACACCGCTGTGTTATGGCGGAAAATCCCAGATTTTCCTTCTGACCATGGTCCACTCTTGACACGGGGACAGGAGCACCAGCTTACATCAATGGCCCTTTTCTCTGAGGCGTAGGGAAACCTCACACACACATGCAGCGTACATAGGAACACACTCACAGGGCAACCCCTCTCACACACTCCCACGCTCCAGCTCTCTTTAAATGTCAAACTGTGGGAGAGAGGGTTTATCTTGGAGCCGTATGGTATTTTTACACCTTTCATTACTGCCCTTCTCTAACACACACACGGACACACGCTCGCTGGAATCCAACACGCTCCGTCCAGTCAAGGGCAAACTCTGGCCTTGGTGTGTTACCTCACTGTGCGGAACAAGAAAATTCCAAAACATTTGGACGTTTATGCTCTAAAATACACTTAAATGTCTTCGCAAAGTTAAACCAAATGTCAGGATCAGAGCCAGTGTTCATAATAATGACCGGTTTCACTACTCGACTTGTTTCGTCCCTACTTATTCTCCTATAGACTTGGACACATCAATCAGTAACTTATTCTCCACTATCTTACCATCTGTCTCTCAGAAATGTACGCACACAGGGGTCTGAGTTAGCTTACTGCTCTTACTTAGTGCAATAAGTTTGTTTTTACTTATCACGACCTGTGAGCGGAAAGTGGTCTAAGCCAATTCAAGGCCACTTCAAGCGTGTTAATAGACACCAAAAGTAGTGCCGCTTTTATTTCCATATTGGCTTCATGTTAAAGGACCCCAAGTTGCAGCTCCATGCCGACATATTCCTCTACAGCAGCCAAGGCATGTGCAGACACAAATGTCCGGTAGCGCCACAGGACTGACGTCACACCCTTTCAACGAACAAAGACACGATTTAACTTACCTACAAAGATTCCTCGGTTCAGTAAAGTCCATAAGTATTTGTTTCATTTTCACCCATTTGTTCATGTTCATCTCTCTTTTTTAATACACATTTATAAGATACCGAATTAAAAATACACCGACAAATGAACACTTGAACAGCTTATTTTGTGGTTGGACTCATGTTTCATGGAATTGGTGTCTTCCCTTCTTGTTTGTCTCCTTTTTGTGGATAAGTACAACATTTACTGAACAACCTTTTAAGAAATCAAAATACAAATCACATTAAGAAATATTTTAGTCAGCAGGTCATTTTCACTCACTCAAAATCTATTTTGGTTCTCTCTCCTGCAGCTGTTATTGTGCCAAGGACCCTGAGTCTTCGGTGCTTATGTGATGACGCGATGTCCTTATCTGACGTTTAAAGACTAGGTACTTTGACGCCGTTGCTCACGCACACATCAGTTTCTACTGGTTTTATGTTGTTGTACGTGAACTAACAATCCATCGAATCCGCCACTGACAGATCTAGATCCACTCTGTCCGAGATGTAGTAGGAAAGAGTAATAATGTTAAACAGGCTGTATCTGTAACCACATACTGTCATACCGTTCACATAAATATAGCATCACTGTATGTACTCAGTTTGATCTATAGTACATATTTATCTGCTTCGTTTGAATTTAACTGTAGGCTGTAAGTACTTATATTTTTTTAACTGCAATATTTTTTAATCTAAAGTTTAATAATTATAAGGAAACAGATTATCTTACCACTTCCTGCTTGTGGGCCAAGATGATTAATGGTGCTGACAAGGCTGTAGCATTAACCGCTATGAGAAAGTAAAGAAGAGTTAGAGCCCACACAGTCCACACATCAGCCTCTATTAGATATTATCCTTTTTTTTCATCATCACTTAGTGTCTGCTTACCTCTTTGGAAGAAATAATCAGCTCCCTGAAGACGTCGACTGGATCATAGACTAATACCAGATCCACTTCAGGGGCAGGAGCAGCACTCTGAGGACAGAAAAAAGGACAAGAAGTTCAGATATTTGAAATTCAAACTGATAAAACATATACAGGTTTTTGATATCTTGGTCAACCATGAACCCCTCCAAATCACCAATCTGAAATTTAAAGCTCTTGTGATTTTTTAAAAATGTTTTGGAAATAAACTGAAATTCACACTCATGTATTTTTTAACGGTATACAAAAAGTAAACAAGACTTTCTGCAACATGTAACATGAATACAACTTAGCACTAATATTAGCTAGCCCCTGACACGACTATGAGATAGTTTCTTATCCGAGTTGGTAAATAATCAGCCAAGTTATGCTAAAGACTAAAACTGCTTAAAAATACAAAAACAACAACATGAAAGACTTGTATCCGGCCTGATATTTTCCAGAGTTCACTACTTTTACAATCTGTAAACTAACACTAATCACAAAGTTTAATATCTTTTCTTTTGTTATAGAGTTTTAATTTTCAAGATTCTTTCTCTTACATTAAAATATGCCGTCATATTGATGATTAAATTGGAATAAGTCCAGGGAAATCAGTTATCTTGCAGCATGGTGTAAAGCTTAAAGACTAAACTGCAGCATGTTGCTGATGATTTGGATGCTAAGCAGTTTATTCATTAAACACATTCCAGTGCGCCGTCAGCTGCTGTTTGTTCCTCTAACATCCTCAAAGTGGCCGTGTGTGCTGCAGGATCAGTGGCGGCTGGCTGTGATAGGGGTAACGGGGGCCGCCACAATGCCTGTCTTCCTCCCTGCTGTTCCACCCAGGAGCCTAAACTACTAATGGCCCCCTAATGTATAAATACCATTCTGTAAGCATTAGTCACACTTTCTCTCTTTCTCCAACACACACACACACGCACGCTCAGAGAGGTCTACACGTCTACACAGCATTAGTCACAGTGGCAGCTTCAGCCTATGGTTGGATCGCAGATGAGGGCCAAGGCCAGGGGCTGAGGGTCTAAATTCTCTTGCACAAACAATACATGTCAAAGAGGCCCATCAGAGGCTTTCTATAAAGACGGGAAGACGTTGTTTGGAGCACAAAGAGAGGGCAGCAGGACCGTGCCAGAGACTGGTGAAGATAGAGATGTGTATATCCAGGAACACAGGTTGCTATTGTAATGTGTGTGTGTTTTTCAGGAGTCTGTATCATGACTGTGCATGCATGTGCTAAATAAATGTCTAACGTGATGTGTGAATAGAGGAGGGCTGACAGCTTTGCATGTAGAACCGAATTAGAAAACATGTTTACTTTGAAGCATGAATGCAGGGAAAGAGGCCTTTTCCTTTTTTTGATTTCTAAGGTTGTGAAGTAAGACCGCAAGCAGGGGAAGACAAAAGCCGGTCCGACACCCAGGGGGATTTGTTGACAGCTAAATATCTTCATTCTTGCACGAGGCATTACACATGCAAATTGCCATTAAGGTGCATGTATGAAGGAGCGGTGGAGGTCATTAATTCCTATTTTAAGCATCATTTATCAGTGTAATATAAAGACTGTATGAAAGGTCATTAATCACTGTATAATATTGTGTAAAAAAAGGTGTGTTTTTATGCTTTTTTCACTTGTGTATCTTCGTGTGGGTGTGAGTGGGTGCATTAGCGTGACCTTGCCCTAACTTTGTGACATTTTCCCACACATGTCAAGAAAGCTTTGAGCTGACAGCGAGGAACACTTTGATAAATTCATCATCTTCCTCCTTTCACTGCATGCATAATCAATCAACCCTTTAAAGCCACTTGAGGCTCAGTTTACTGATTGTTAAAACCTTATTCATCTGCATAAATAAATGCATAATACATGAATACAGAGAGTTATAAATAAATTTACTTAAATAAAAGCTGGGTTCATTAAGCGTCCGCAAAAATAATGATTTTAGTGCCACAGGACAAAACTAGGGTCATACCGACTTAAATGAAATGTTGTACAAGTTTGCACTAAAAATGAGTTTGCTCGAAGTGTAGCTCATAAACATTAAAATGGACTAGTTCAGGTTCATCTATTTTTAGCTTCACCAAAATGATCTATCAAGCTTCAGTCCCAAACCCTCAATCACCGAGATTTTCTAAACCCAAAGCATAATTATATTCTACCCTCGAATCATAGACAGGTATTCAGTTTAAAAGCAAAGGAAATTTCTTAAAATGTGAAATAGAAATTTGTGCCACATGATGAACTTACCACCTTTGTCGTGTCCTCACTTCCCCTGTCTGCTCTTGGGCGGCAGGGTGAACTTTGCGTTACCCTTGCTCTCGCTCCTTTCTGCTCATTTTAGGGAGTATTAAACATGTGATTTATCATTTTACGTCTCACCAGTTTTTTTGCCATATGCATCTTCCTGTTTTTAAGACCAACGGTAGGATTGCCTTATCCACCTGTGTCCTATTTTGACAAACCAAAGATGGCATTTCCCGAATCAACCGAAAATTGCCCCTTGCTATGTTCTAAACATATACACTCCGACTGTTAAAGACACACTCTGATGGAAATCATGTTTTTCTTGTTGTCTAAATATTCATATGGTATTTTTCTAAAACTAAAAGACATATCATGAGTATTTCTGTATTCAAATCGCTGTGATTCTCTGGCAGACCCAAACAGCAGGCTCAGATTCAGTGAGATTTCATACGTCATAAATCTAAGCTCCGCCCCCAGAGCCCCACCAGACTCAGAGAAATAGAGAATGACGATCGCAGAACAAGTGTCTGCGTTAGCGGATTGAAATGCTTGTAAGAAAGCTTATTATGATGTCAGCTTTCATCATGCTCCTAAAGACATTAGTGTCTCTTCTACTAAAATTGCAATAATAGGCTACAAGCTAACTTGAAGAGAAGTATGCAGAGCAGCGCTGGCTCCGCCCACGACTCAGAGACGAATTGCTGATGAGTCACTGGATTTTGGCTAAAAACTTCATATTCGTTGTTTAAAGACTTTAAATAGAAGAAAAAAAAATATCAGAGTGGGACTTAAACACGCTCTCTGTTACTCTTTCTCCTCTCTTTGCAAAGACCTTAAATAAAAAACACAAAGACAATCAGCCAAGACATTTCCAAAACAAATGTGAAAAGGTCTTCTGAATAAAATGCTAGTAAAGGCCATTAAAAAAAGCCTCCTGCATCTGGAAACTTTAAATCAGACATCATGTCCCGCAGCCCTCATGCACTTGCTGAATCGTCTGTCTAGCAGAGATGGATGTAAAATATTTAACAAATCCTTTGATGCCAACAATCCCAACAAAGTCTTAGATTTTTTGCGAAACTAACAGATGGTCCCGGGTCAAAAGTTCGTCATGCTGCTGCTCAAATACAAACCCATATTTCAGTCTATTTAACAATTAGTGAACCTCACAGCGTGGGATTTGGAGATCATTATTGAAGAGCATCAATCAGAGGCTTGAAATCAACCGTGGCCGTGCAACTGTTACCGAGCTGTGACCACGGTGTGAGTGTGACCTTATAAGAGAGGCTGTAAAACACATAAGGAGGCTTTTATTCTCTTTCTTTAAAGTCCCACACCATTCTCCTATCAGAGAGAAAACAGTCCAGTCTGGGTGCTCTGTTCCCTGACAGTCCATTAACACGGCAAGACGAAATTAAGATCATTAAAGAATATAAATTCACTCCATTCATCTGAAAGGTCGTGTATGACTTGGCGGGGCGGTATATTCGTGTTGACTGCGCAGGAATGTGTGTGTATTAAAAAAAGTGTTTCCCTCAAGTGACTGGAAACTGTAACAAGCTCGCAGCGTGCGGAGGGGGATTCCATGAGCGACACCTCAGCAGGGCTTTCCCCGACATCCTTTTCCTCCACCAAGAGCTCACGTTTTTACACTTTTGCACGCTACAGAGAAAGAGTGAGGCGTGCTCGGCTCTGCTTATGTTGGATGATGAAAATTCCTGCAGGATGTCGCCTGGATGTTTGGATTCGTTGGTGATGTTAGGTCATTAAAAAAAGTGTAGGAGTGTAGCTGCGCAACGCCCGGATGTGTTTCTCTCTCAGCTCATAAAGGAGCTTTTCCAACTGCAGCAGCGAATCAGTGCGTGAACATGAAACACTTGTAAATGCCTGCTTGTCTCACTGTTATGAATCCCTCCCCCCTCTCTTTCGCTCCATATTTTACTCCTCATTTCACTATTGTTCAGCCTGAGGTCTCCACCTGATTTGGTCGTAATGTTTTATGCCTTTGCAGAGTTGCTGGGCAAAAGGAGTGGTGCTCCCCAACACTGTGAGGCACATTTTCCACAGATTTAGATGTTTCTCCTGTTTACCAGGTAGAGACCCCTGAGAGAACACAGTGTGGAAACTTAAACGGGGGGAGCCCGGTTTAACGAGAGAAAGGAAAAAACACTTGCAATTTGATTTTACATTTGAAGTTGGCCTAGGAGAGCCAATGACTGGAAACCACCAAAGGTAGTAGAGCTGCTTTTGACCTTCAAGTTGGAAATGACGATCAAAGTGGCATTTTGGTGATTTTCATTCCAAAGCTGTGATTTCTTAGATAAACAAAAGACTGGCAGGCATTGCTCATAAAGGACAAATTCAGGGTTTTAAAGGTATTGAAGCTGAAGGGCAGAATCTCAGCATTAATAGTTTCCACTGTGCTACAAGTCCAGAGGGCACACTGGCTGATCTCAGCTGGTAGGAAGATCTGTGTCATGGAATATCATGGATCATTTGGTTTTTCATGTCATTGGTGTTTGGACAAAAGTATGACACAGATCTGCTCTTTAACCATTTTCCATTCGCTTCACCTCTTGTGCTCTCTGCCTGCTCGCTGCTCCCACCTCATCAGCTAACTCAGTTCACCTGTGCACACAGCTGCTTCACATCCCCTATCAAAACAGAAACCCCCCCTCTACTTTGAAATGCTCCAACAGCACCCATAAGAAGTTCTGACATAACTACACCTTTGTGCCTAGACACTGAACTCTGCTACTGTGTGATATACTGTAGGTGTCCCAGTGTGTGAATTTACATGGTAGTACAGCATGCAGGAGCAGGGGTACAGCTTGTCAACACACAGCAGGAGCTTCACATGCACACACACACATTTCTACTTGCTGCCTCAGCGCAAACACATTTTAACTCTGTTGCTACCAAGAGAGTATTAGAAGCAGAATGATACTGTCCCACTGTTGTGTCTCTTTGAAATGGCAGTATTTTAAGAGGCCCTCTTTTTTTACTTATTTATTTATGGTCAGATTGTTATACGCTATTTAATGCAAGACTCTCCGTCCCTAGGTTTTGGAAGGATCTCCTGTTTGAGGAGCAAAGATTTTAAGTAGGATGACCATATTCTGACTTCCCAAAAAGAGGACACGACTCTGCGGGGGTGGAGTCACGGAGTCTGATGACGTTAATTTTGACTTTTTCGGGTCAGATCGAATGTCTTTCATGTGCTTCTAACTCAGTTAGTCCACATGACAAAAAAAATTGAAACTTGCGTACAAAACCGCAGACATTTGAAGGATTTTATAACCTTCTTCTCACCCTGTTTTAAAAGTCTTTCTGCATGATGATTTTCCCCTCTACAACGAGCAGGTTTCATTCAAGTCTGAAGCTCTTTTAAGTACCATCAGTTTGTCTTTAACTGTTGACTTCTTTACTTAAAACAGGCTAAATTTACTTAATTGAGTAAGGGCCTGACAACTGACAACATTTCTTGCTGTCAGTGGACACAATGGTGTTTTTTTTTTTACAGTACTAACCATTGAAAAATAACAAGACTTGACCTTCTCATATCTCTTTATGGTCCAAATTAGTTTCAATTCAATAAAACTTTTCCATGAAAATGAAAAAAATGGATGTTGTACTTTTAAATGGAGAAAGCTGAGTAGTTTGTCCAAAGTTTCTACACCTACAATGTTGACAAAGTTGATGATAGAAGTCCTGCTCCTTTTGATTTTGATTGGTTGGTGATGGAGAAGCAAAACTGATCTAAAAGTTGAACCGTTTTCAGCCGGGAGTGCTGTGAGCGCAGCAATAAAAGTCAACCAAAGCTGAAAGCAGTTTTGCTCTTAAGATGTCGAACCCTGAAATCACTCGAGTATTGCACTGATTTATTTCCCCCGAAACATATATACTGCCACTGAAAAAGCTTTAAGTGTATATAGGCTTTAAATGCATGATTATTTTCATGAAAAAGAGTGAATAAATGATCAAATTTAAGTGATTTTGAAAAGTTGAGAGGCCATGTTCAAGGATTCGTTCTAGATTTGTGAAGCTGTGGAGTAAAATCAGTACCTTAGTGCAAATGATTTCATCTCCTGGTCAGTATTTGCACCAATAACTTTCAAAGACACAGAACAGGTGATAATGAACCGGTCACACCTGCTGGACGTTTCCTCGTCTACATCTGACTGCCATTAGCTCCTGGTTAAAGTTTTCACCCTATTACACTATTATGCTGTAACCATGATGCCAGGATACCACCAAAGACGACAGCCTCATCAATCTTCGGCTGTCTCTGAAGAAACACAAACAGACGTACACACACTGAAGGCAGTAGACGAGGCTTTCTCCTCTGTGCTCGGGCCTCCTCCTGTAGGGAGTTTATTATTCTTTCTCCTCTGACATGTTATGTGCTCTTTTATCTTTGAATAATGCATGAAGCCATTTTGAAATGTAGTTATACATTTGGCACGAGTACGCAGTTTATTTGGCTTTTACTGTCCAGGTGCCCCACACGATATAGGAGTCTGCGAAACCTCAACCGATCATGACGCATTTTCAGTTTGTGTTTGGTTGACTTTGTGCAGCGGGACGCATTTCTCCACCATCATATTTCCAGTTTATAACTCCTATTTTTTCACACTGGTTCCCTCTCAGAAGTTTCCAAGCCAGTGACTGGGATTTTTCCCTCCCTTGTGTATTGTAATGGTGTCGAGGCGATAATGTAAAGTGTTAGCAGCGGGCCGGGTCACTGGCTGCTGTTTTGAGGCCTCTGTGTTCTCCCAGGCCTCTCTTTTCCCAGCTCCTCTCCCCTGAAGCACTGTGGGTGTGTTTAGAGCACGCCCAGCAGGCCACCCTCAATCACAAAGCCCTGTTCTTCCACAGTCTGAGGCTGCCAGCTGGTGAGAGTGTCCAGTCTGAGTGTGTGTGAGTGTTTAAGAGAAACAGAAAATGTCTGTGCAAAGAAAAAAGAAAATTACGACTTTATCTAGGCTTCTCTTTCTTGTGTCGCTGACCTACACAGAGAGTGAGAATGAGAAACTTGGAGGGAGAAATGCAGGACTTGGATCTCGAGGTGGAATAAATCAACAAGTTGGACTCATTAGATTCAGCACTGCAGGATTTTTATCTCCCCAGCGGGCAAGCGAGGCTGAGAAAGCTCTTCCACTCAGTAGCAGCTCCGCAGAGGAGAAAAAAAAGAGCATAAAACACAAAGACAGAATAAAACGCTGGCTTTGGGGTTTCAGGAATCCAAATTAACTGTGGGTCATGTCATGTGAGAGCCGAGCTGCGGCAAAGCGAGAAAATGAAACGCCTGAACTACATCGCCTTTTTTCAAAGAGGCGGGTAGAACATCAATTCCCATGGGAACTTGCATGCTCCTGATGACCCGCCCACCGTGAAAGCCTCGATCAAAAGACGCGAGTTTTCAAGCAGAAGAGCAGAAATAAAGATAAAAGATGAGGGGAGAGTGGAAAGGAAGGACACAGTTTCTCGTTTTCTCGAGGCCAAACGACACGCTGCACGCTCAGCTGTGTTCTGTGAAGGAGACACATGACAAGTGGTTGATGAGCATCCGCCTCCGATGCTAACAAGTCCTCCAACAGCACCAGTGGCCACCAAGAGCGGTGCATCTGTCAGCTGTCATCCTCTTTAAAGTCTCACAGTCCGGAAAAAAAAGAGTCTACTTCCTTCCTCCCAGGCTTCGTACAGCCACCAGGTTTCAGAAGAAAGACATTCTGGTGCTCATCACACACTCCTATGACTCTTCACAATAGGACTGGAATGCTGCAGAGGCTGAGAGCTGCTTGAGATGCGTTCATGGCCAGATTGGTTGTTTAAAAAAAACAGATTTAGTGTTGCTACGCTGTCCAAAAAACAGCTACAAGACTTCCTTCAAGGCTGTCAGATGAGCTGGTCATGTGCCATGTGGGTTTCATAATGTCGAGGACATATTGTGGGAGTGGATCCCAGCACCCTGGCCCTTCACCAAACTCTGCTGCTGTACTGTACAAACGTCCTTGTTTCGCTGTGTCCAGAAATACATTCAGGGAAGTTTCTGGATATTTCAGGAGCTCTGCACTCAAAATTTTCCTGAGTGGATTTGTTCAAATAGGAATACTTGAATACTTCCAGCTGCGGCTGAATCCAACATCATTCAGTGTAGGTACCAAAGATGCTTGGGTGGTCAAATGAGCTCGTACTCGAGTACTTTGGTGAAATTTAACTGCATTTGACACAAAAAAAGAGAGATCATCACCCGGCTTCTTAGCTCTTGTCCGGTCTACCTCCTTTCTAAGCGCCCGTTATTCCACCAGAGTCTCCGGTATTTACTTCGTTTTCTTGCTTGTGTTGGCAGTCGTGGCCAAAGGAGGATTCAGACAATTTTCCGTACCTTCCGGTTGGTTTCTACTGTCCGATGTTGTAGCACGCTAACTTTGTTTGGGCTTGTGAACGTTATTGGAGGACATGGAGCGTGCCTCACAACACGAGGAAGCAGCGTCTGCCTCACAACCAATCAGGTTGGGGGAGGCGGAGAATGGCTTTGTTTACAGTCAGAATTAAAATATTGACTACACAGACATAACAAAACACAGCGACGTCATTATATTACCAAATGTCATCAATAATTAATAGCTATTAACTGATATTAAAAGCTTTTTTATATATCCACCATAAAAAAAGATGCTTCTTTAATGGAACCCTGCCTACCCCACCTTTAAGTTGAGCTATACTTTGATGTAACTGGACTGTCTTTGTCCCCATTTACAAGCATTCGGTCAAAATTTATCCATTGGTCAAACTATGTGCTCCATAACTTTGATCGTGTATACCACTGCCTCAACATCTGGTAGGAGGTCTACTAACATTTTGTAAAATGCATGCAACAGATAAATGAAGAACAATATGACTCATGCCCATTTCACAAAAGAAACTCCCATCCACTTATTAAACACACTTTGAACCCTCTTTCATCATAAACACAACAACAAATATGAGATAACCCCTGAGTCCACACAGAAGTCATTGTTGTGATTGATTATGGTCTCATCTGGTTTTGTACCCCACAAAAAGGTAGCAGTATTAATTTCAGTGTTTGGTGTTGAATTTTAAATACTACACATAGAGGCCATAGAGAGCACTGGTTAGAGTTCACAGGTCTTTAGCAAAACTTGAGAAATCAAAATCAAATCTGCGTCCATGGCTAGTAGCAACTGATAGGATAGTAAGTTTAAAACATACAAATTTTTACAGATATACTGTGCATCATAACCAGATGTGTATTCTGAGTCAAGCAGCAAAGATCCTGAAAACAATTTGGTTCCACATGCATCAGCCACCACACTCTGTAAAAGCTGCTTGTTGTGGTTGGGCAAACTGCAGAGCAACGTACGAGATCTATTTTCAAAGCGGCTCATGCTGATCTCTGCTATTAAAGCAGACACTTACAGTGCTATTTCAGGAGCGAGCCTGGGGGCCACAATAACAGTCTTTTATTGTTGTGGATGGAGCTTGAATTTAAACAAGCCACTTTTAAGCCTTACTGAAACAATTGCAGTGGAACAAGGAGAGGCTGACTTAATGAGATGGATTTGGGCGGATAATAACAGGAACGATATGAATTCAGAACACATACTGCACCAGCTGAAGAGTGAAATCATAGGCCTTTTGACTCAGGAGGCATACGGAAGCACTTCAGAGAGGATCCTGCTTGGCTACGGTTTCAGTTTTCATTCCCCAAAACCATGATTATTCTTTTGAATTTCACCCCATCAAAACTGCACTCAGACCTCAAGGCACCACAGCAATCCTCAGGGTCTATGATTTGCATCTCAGGATTTATGGGGCGCACGTTTGAAGATCTCCAGATCAAATGTAATATCTGAGCATTGAACTATTCCCCTGACTTCATTAGAAAAAGACAGGAATGATTGCATACATAAAACAATAATGATTTATGGGGGTACGGTGACAGACACAAAGCAGGATCCTGGATCTTTGTTTACCTTTGGTGCATTAAGCAAATGAAGGGGAGGGGCGGAGGAGAGGTCACGGGCATTTTCAACCATAACTTCACACATGCATGAACATGAAGGATGGTTTTTCTTCCTGTTTATACTCCAAATGGATCCACATTGGCCCATGACCCGACTGTTGCAAGTGTGATTGTTTTACAAAGCGAAAAGGCCTCATTTACGATCGCTCCTGATGATTACTGATAGTTTTTGTCACCGAGTTGTACATTAACAATATTGATGTGAGCAGCCTGTGAGGAAACATTATGAATTGTTTGGTGAATAGAGTGGGTCGCTCTAAAGTCTAACTAGCTTGTATGTCGGTAACCGCGAGTGCCCGTGGTCGACTCACCTAAAAGTGAGAGTGACTTATTGGCCTGCATCCTGTTTGTCTTTGCTTGTCCAGGTTTGTATTGGCAGCGTGGTGACTGAAGAGAAACACAATCGGGGCCCAGAGCGCTGCGCTGTGCCCTTCATTCATCCATCACATCAAGGGTTCTCTGAACGCAGAGCTCCTACACGCAATTAATGCTGGTGAGCTCCAGCGCTGGGTGCTGCTCAGAGGAAAGGCTGCCTCCAGGCAAAGAGCGCAGAGGTCACAAAGCACTTCCTATACGTTAACTTTGCCCTTGTAGATGGAGGAACAGACAGGCATCAAAGCCGAGTTTCATCAAGATAAAATCTGAATGTTTTTTTTTTTAAGCCTGGAAAAAAATAAATGAGGGTTTCTTTACTGTGATAAGAAACAGAAAATATTGAATTATGACAAGAAAATTTTATTCAAGTAAACTGGTTGAAAATTGAAGTTCAGATGTTCAAGATCATTTAAAGGGATATTCCGGCGTAAAATTAAATTAGGGTCAAACACACCGTAACACCAAGCTAGACACCCCCTTGAGAGATTTATGTTGCCGACCACTTGCTTCTCTAGTTATACCAACTTTAGAAATGACCGTACGATAGCTATACAGAGAGCCATGCGCTCAACCAAAACGCCACTCTATAGCCACAAATAATGCTCAGAACAGCACCTAACTTCATCAACAGGACATATAGGGTCCCAGCCATAGTACTAGCCACCAAATATCTTTTTAGCTTTGCCTAATTTCTTTATCAAAGAAACTAAACACAACTCACCTACTCTCTTCCAGCAGCCGCTTGTTTGTAATGAGACCTCAGACGAGTCTATCACCGACTGCAGTGGGGTGACACAGCCCAAGGAAGAACATTTATGATCATTTCTTCATGGAAGAAATGGTTTGGACTGACGTGAAATAGTTTGTTGTTTGCTTTGCTGGTTTTTAGTTTGTTATTTTGCCTAACCTTTGATTGGTGTTCCCACACCCCTTGACCATCTCAGAGGAATGTCCTGAACACATATAAGGGCCCAGAACTGATCCTAGAGGAGCACCTTTTGTTAACAGCAAAAAACTGTCAATAAAAATGCAACTTTGACCTGTTTAAAACTTTAAAATTACAATTTTGACATCCTCTACAAGTGATTTGGTCACATTTTTGTATTGCAGAGTGTCTGAATGAGCAGCGTGAGATCAACTGTATTGAAAGCTTTTACAGTTTAGAAGCCATTAGTGCAATTTTCTGTGCCTCATTCAGCGACTGATTGCACAAGCGCCTTGATTTCCAGAAATTTCTAACGCCCAGAGCAGAGGTGAGGAGTAGTTCAGCCAGAGATTTTGTGAGTTATGGCAAATCCCACTTTATCTCTTTAAACAGACAATCTTGCGAAAGGTATTTGACCAGAATATGTCGCCCAGCGGATCAGCAAAAGGCTTTTCCTGTGTAGAAAAAGAAGACTTGACCCAGTTTTCATGCTGTAAAGTTCGACTTTTCAGCAAATTTAGTGATAGGAAAAGGTAGAGAGTGAATCAGAGAAGCAGCCAAGGCCAAGCAAAGTGTTTTCTTTGGCTTGTTCTGAAGCCAACGGGTAACATAGGAGAAAAGTAGGCTCCCAGGATATACCATGACATGTTTTATTTCATTTAATCCAAATGAAAAGGGAGCTCATCTGTTTTTAGAGGTTCACTTTCACTGTAAAGACATACTGGGAGATATTTAATGGACACACACACACACGCAAAGGCACACATAAGCCCTCTTCTTCATGTGTGACTGAAAGTCTTTCATTTTACATCTTCTGCCTTTTAAAGAACATCAAAATGATGAAACATCTTTGATGGGAAACCAAGAACTGCAATTAAAGTTAAATCTGTGGTTTCTTGCTCTACAGAAAGGATATATTAAAAAGCATAAAACAGGAACCTCAGGTTACATAAGAGTGTTGGTGTAAGAATCTGCAAATACTCCTCAGAGGCTTTGGTCTGTCTCTGTATTAGAGAGTGAGTCTCACAACCATATTAGCTGCTGACTGATGATATTGAAGTCTCCAAGAGCAAAAGACAAATATTTATGTTGCTCCCTGGGCTGCTGACACTCGTTCAGATTTCAGTTTAAGGATATCCAGTCGACACCTTTACATGTGCTCGTTATATTTACAGTCTCATGAGCGGTGTCAGATGCAAAAACTGAATTTTAGGGTTTAGATGCCAAGAATGCCAAAATACTAAGGGCCTGTTTCCATTAACAGCGTGTTTTTTTTCCACTGGAAGTGTCCACCACCTACAGTTCTGAATGCTTCTCAATATTCTCACTGTTGCTAGGTTACAAAGTAAGCATCAGCTTCCCTCAGTGGGGATCATGAAGTGTGTTTTCAGTTAGTCTGTATGCTAGATATTATTACCCCTGCAGACCTCTGCCATTGTTGTTTCCAAAGTAGCCATGAGAAGTCCCACCCTCTCTGGATTTTGATTGGTCAGTAAGTGACCCTGAGCATTCCTGCAGTGTTTCTACTTTCACTTCAGTGCTGCCCACTGACATACGTTTGGACAGGACAGCTGCTGTATCTGCATTCGTGTACAGAAGTACGTTAGCAGGGTTGATTAGCAATAGATGCTAGCAGACAAAGGTACAAGGGCCAGATTCAGCACCCTCAAACCAGGCATCTCTTCACCTCATGGCTCCAAAATCTCCAGGGTGGCGTGGCTCTGAGCCATGGGGCTATAAAGAGGATGAGATAATCTGGCAATGGTGGAGGTCCACTGTGGAGAGTGTATTGTCCTTTATGAAGCTAATAAAGTCCTGTCATGCTGGTTGATCCTTGATATTTGGCCCTGGTCCAGAGCGGGCATACTGCTCTTGTCTTTCCACTTATCGTCTCCCCTCCTGCCCCCACCGAACTGTGACAGGAGGGCTTCCAGGAGCAGCTTTGATCAGCGTCTGCTTGTCATTTAGCATTAGCCACCCCAGGAGCAGGGACTCCTCTCAGGGCCTGGGATGGACCAGAGAAGGACTGGATCCTGAATGGAAGGGCCCATGGCTGTGGAACAATCGGCTCTGTGTGGCACAGCAGACATCTGGGTGTTAGCAGACATACTCCGGTGTGTGCCACATGTCTCACCCCTGACACTGTCATGACCCAATCTGCACCCTCTAACAGCTTTATCTCCCTAATGTGGCCCCACAACTCTATTAAAAAGGATGTGTTGGTGAGATCACTGCTACTGCAGACACTTACTCCTGCTCGTTCAACAATGACTTAATTGATGTTTAATGAGTTTTCCAGAGCCTTAAGAGTGAGAGCATTCACTCCAACTCATTGCATCCAGAGGGTAAAACATACAGATTCTGTGATTTTAACTCCAACAAATTAGCTTATTTCCCACTCCATGAGGATCACTACACTATAATGACTTGTTAGACAGAATATTGATGTTGTTCCAAGTGCAAAAAGATGCCAAGCATGACTTCAGACGTCCCTTACTCAAATCTATCAACTGGCTTTACCTCACAACTGAGGTAGAGGAGGGGAGTACTACAGGAAAACACACTTTAAAGTAGGACATCAAGGTCGTATGGACTAACAGACGCCTTTTTCTCTATGCCAAACACGGCTAGACATAATTTTTTTTTTTAATGTCCAACACGTCCCACACATAGACTGTATATACTATGGATAACTTGGTTCTGCCTTCGACCAGTATACGGATTTGAACCCGTAAAGCTCTCTGTAATTCTGCAATTTTCCTCCACTTCCTGAAACCAACATTGCACAGTAGCGTTGTAATCACTTCACCACTTGTGCAGTAGCATTGTACGCATTCGGCGGGAGAGTCGCCAAGAGTCGCTGTGATGACGCTCGGCTCAAACATCGTGTCCCCCCACAGGTGAGCTACGTAATGTTTGTACGCCCATAGCAGGGCTGGCCCATAGCATAAGCGAACTAAGCGCTTGCCTAGGGCCCCATGGCCAGTAGGGGGCCCCCAAGAGCAATCAAAAAATAAATAAATATTTTTTTTATTTTTGGCATATGAGTGATGCTTTCTGTATGATCAAATATATATTATTGTAAAAATAAAATAAAATAAAGTAAAAACATCTTAGTGCTGCTGCTGATGTAGGCCTATGATTCTTACTGCCGATATGTCAAAGCTCATCTTCCGTTATGTGCCTCCTGCTGTGAATTGTGCACTGAGCATCCAAAGCGCAGGTAGTTGTGGGGCAAAACAATGTTGCAAAAAAGAACATATCCTTCAGGAGCAGAGAAAAGAAATAAGAAGAAGAGAAAAAAACGCCAAGATGAAGGTTAGTGTTAATCAAAGAGATTTGTGAAGATGTGTGAATGATCAATAATTAGTATTATTGGCAGAAATAGAGGGCCCCAAAATCAAATTTTGCTTATTCTGTGTAATACATTTCTAAAGTTTGTCAACAGCTCCATAGGGATTGCTGGAGGAGGCGGAATTTATGACCTATACTGCAGCCAGTCACCAGAGGGTGCTGTTCTCGGAGTGGCTTCACCCAGCGAGGACGCAGATGGCGTCCATTCCATACAGTCTATGGTCCCACAATGTTATCAAATAATCAAATAAAGAGGCCATTTTGAAAGCAAGCTGTTTATCACCTGATCTGACACCTATCCCACAGCTGGGCTTATAGACATACTCCCTTAAAAAAACTCCCTTTAATACCCCTAACACCATTACTTTATCACTAATAGATAATTGCAGTTGATTTAACAGTTAAAACAACCTTCCCAGGACCCAGACGACTGTGTTTCTGGTGGCTTTAAAGCGCCTCAGTCCACAGCCTGATTGAATGGGAGGAGTGTGGAGTCAGTTTGTGATGGTATGATAGGTTATACAACAGCCTTAATGTGAAGACCTCATGGTTCAAGGCCATGGGAGCCGTCATATGTGCATTCACACACTCACTGAACACACATGTGCTGTAACATCTGACACCACCTCCCTGCTGTTCCCACTGTGTCAGGAGGGGAAGTCCATTCATTTCAGAAAAATGCTCGGTGAATCAGAAAGACTCTGAACCAGGACCGGGGTTTCGGCTTACACGGAGTCTAAATGTTAACAGCGTTTGTCCGCAACATCCGAAACCATTCATAAAGAATATTTATACTTTATGTGATAAGGCGGGCTGAGACCATCGATCATGAAACAATGCAGAATCCATTAAACCATAAACCTAAGGTCATATGTGTCAAAAATGTCTGAAACTTTAGCAGCCAATGTCTTTTTCTTCACAATCTGCAGCATACCATCTCAGTGCTGTCCGCCACTCAGAAACAGTCACACAGCTCGCAGACGGATCAGTTATCACAAGCCTTTTAGCATTTCCTGTTCGCAAACCAAGACCTGAGCCTCATCCAAAAGCAATCTATCATTGAGATTTATGCTTCTGGACTCTCCCTCTCTCTCTCTTACACACCCCCACACCCACACGACCTCAATCACTTATCGCTGATTTTTAAAAATGATGTCTCATGTCATTTTACATATACAAGGTCAAGTTAGTACTCCTTTATACATCATTTATAGACATTACCTGTTGATTCTCAGTCACTGAAAGAGTCTTTTGTGTCCTGGCACTTCAATGAATATCCACAATTTTTAGCAAATGCCAGATTGTCTC